TATTCAACTCTACTCCATGTCATCACCCACAATCCATTCAACACTTATTCAATCATAGTCATCATCTTATTCAACTCTTATAGTACTTGCATTGTGGATGCTCTAAGAACAATTGAGTAGTCATTTTCATGTATAAAAGTAGATGTAGTCATTGAGTAGTCGTTTAATCTCATTTCAATTTTGGCATTATAAATTCAGTTTACTGGTTTCAATTTTCATCATCCTTTTTTCATAAAAAAATAACACTTTGAAATTTGAAATCCTAGTTTCTATATATTCCTCATTCATGTTTATAACTTCAGCAATCAACCTTGCTTCACAACTTAATCATAAAGTACTTCATTTTTTCTTAATTTCAAATATCTCATGTGAAACATTATATGTAACATAATAATTTACATATTTTATCTTTATTATTTATTTTACAGTTGCATTTCCATAAAGTTTGTGTTCAAATTGAAAAACAATACTCAAGAACAAATAATGTAGCCTACGAATACTAGTTTTGTAGATCTTCTTCGTAACTGTGAAGTATCGGTTCAGTCTCATGATTTTGTGACCGAGCCCTAAAATGTATAATTTCTTTTACCTAATGTTGATAGATTTAAGATAGAAAATGACTTTGGATTTGATTAACCTAATTCCTAATGTGGTGAAGATATTCTTAGGCCCTATTTTTTTCCTCATGAACTGATAAATATCCTGAATGGATAATGAAGAACGGATAAAATGTTGCTGATAGAAATATTTTTTCTTTTTTGCACTGAATGCATTATCCGAATCTAAATAAATGAATATTTTACCTTCATATTTAATAATAACAAATGACAAGTTGACTACATATTCAATAATCGTTATAAATTTAAAGCGTACATTATCAAATTAAATAATTTTTAAATGTAAAATAGATTAAAAAATATGAATTTAATTTACATTAAGCATCATTTTAAATAAGTTCAATAATAAAATTAAATCAAAATATATGTTAGAGTATATTATTTCTTTATGCTCTTTGTACACATATGAAGAACTACAATTTTCTAGCTTGGAGAGTTAGAAAGTAAATAAAGAGAAAAAAAAATAGAACATGGAAAAAAAAGTAGTCATTAAATTCTACTTCATTGTAATTCATTGGTTTTAAATTTTACATTTTTAATGAAAGAAAAACGCCATATGAATATCGACTATTAGATTTTAACTTGTTTTAATTCATCGGTATTCATTTTTTTATTTTTATTTTTTGACTTTTCCAATTCTCATCAATAGCGTGTAATTATAAACCTATTTACATTCATTCAATAAAAATCAATCTTAAAATTAACTAAAAGGTGAGGCATGCTTGTTTGATGAGATGGAGAAGGTAACATTGATTTTTTTGGGGGCAATGCAACAGAAGAAGGAAGAAGACTAATGAAAGTTGGAGTGATATTAGGGATTTCAATAGGTTTATGATAAATAAAAAGGAGAGAAAAATCAGTTATCTAGAAAACATGATTGATTTTAGAGAAATACAAAGGCAATTGTGGAAAAAAGCAGTAATTGTGAAAAAAAGGCAGGACTGAATTCATAAGCCCCTTTCCTCTCCACTTTCCCAATTAAGGGGTGTTTGGATAGGGAAAAAAGTGGATGTTTATTGCTTATTGTTTATTCCCACCACAATAAGCCGAGTTTAAGTGTTTGGATAAGAATCTTTAAAAATCAGCTTATTGTGGTAGAAATAAGCTAAATAAGTTGATTTTAAGAAGAAAGGGGGATGCTTATTGCTTATTGCCTATTTTTAGTGATTTGAGAAATTACCTAATTACCCTTCAAAAAAACGATACATAAAACCCATAAACCCTTTTGTCGATCAATTGCTTCACAATTCTACTGCCGATCGCTATTCCCTCTTCTCGACTAGCCATCAACCCTGGAATCCATCGACGATCTTCAAGCCATCGACGATCAGGTTTGAATTTTCTTCCTTTTTTCGTTTGGTATACATCGACAATGTAACGCCCGTGTTTCTAGGCTAGGCATTAATATTGACATAATAGTCTAGGTTAACCTTTGTAACTCATTTAGAAGAAATGAAAAGGAATTATGTGAATATTATGTGAAAATTATGTGTTTTATGCTTAATTATTAGGGTTTAATTAATTAAGAATAAAAATGAGCGTCGAAAATAAATATTAGATAAAGCCGATATCTATTAAGAAAGTTGTAGTGGTCGTGACAAGGATTAGGGATATATAAAGAATGCCGAAATCCGAGTTATAACGAAGAAGTTATGACCTGTCGAAGTTTCGCGACAAAATCGGCACGGTGCCGAATGTCGTAAAAAGTGAGTTTTTGATAAACTACTTTTTAGCCTTAGTGATCTAAACGAAAGTCGTAGTGTTCGTTAAACCGAGAGTATGTATAAAAAGAACGCCCAAATCTGACTTCGTATGAGGAAGTTATAATTTTCTAAGTTTCAGCTTAACAGTAGACATCTAAAAACTCGAATTTTAGATCGAGTGATTTTTAGCCGACACAACCTAAACAAGAATCGAAGATCTCGTTAATAGCATAAAGATAAAAAGACAGACGAAAACGGACGTCGGATGAAGAAGTTATGAATTTTTAACGGATTTTCCTGTCCCGGTCTGTTAAAAATAATAATATTAAAAATAAACTCAAAATTAGCCGACGGAGTCTAAACGAAAGTTGTCGAGCATAATTTTTCCTACGCGTGCATATAAAGAACGTCAAAAACGGATCCCGTATGCAAAAGTTATGGATTTTAGAAGTTCGGGGCACAAAAATCAAGAAAAGTCCGAAATCCGAGGAATTTCGCATGGCTGGTGTTCGGCCACGTCACCCTCGCCTCGCCTGCTGACCCGTGTTCGATGCTGATGACGAGTCTGAAGCATGGCCCAGTACGAGACCGACGCGTGTCCGCCTCGTGTCAGCTGCTGATACGCCCGAAGGGAGGTCCAACCGAAATCAGGCGCGTGTCGCATCCGTGGAGGTGTCCGAAGCGAGCCACGTCTCGCCTACAAGCTTCCGACGCGCCTTCGCATCCGAGCCACCTCCAAGCCTCGCAGCTGCCGCGTGTAGCCTTCTTAGCCACTAAACTTCGGTCTCGCACCCTATAAATAGGGGGGTTGCGAGATCTCCCGGCTAGAATTGGAAATTTGACATTTTTCACCCCTAAATCAATATTTTAGCTATTTCTACTTCCCCCGAAGCCCCGGTATCATTTTTAACACCCGGAATACGCCCCGAAGTGCCCGTAGAGCCCGGAAAATTTATCTTTTCGGTTTTGAAGCTCCAACCTCGCATGACCTGGTTTTTCATTAAAGCCCCCAGTTTTATTGGAAACGATCGTTTTAAGAAACGAAGTGCTGCCCGATTATCGTCTTATCGAGTGAGTGTATAGTCACTTTCATGTTACACATAGATATGAAGTATTTTATATAAAATACGTGCTATGTGTATATGTATTGTTTGTTTATTTGAAATGATTGTTGAATGAATGATTTATACAAGTTTTAAAATGATTTAAACTGTATATATATTTTATCTACAAATATGTTGGGTATAACATGGGTAGATGGAATAGTTGGTGTGTGATAAAATGATGAGAGACCTATTGTATAAACCCTGGCGACTATGAGACGTAGTGCCTATTGTATAAACCCTGGTGACTATGAGACGTAGTGCCTATTGTATAAACCCTGGCGACTATGAGACGTAGTGCCTATTGTATAAACCCTAGCGACTATGAGACGTAGTGCCTATTGTATAAACCCTGGCGACTATGAGACGTAGTGCCTATTGTATAAACCCGCGCGACTATGTGACGTAGTGCCTGTTGTATGAACCTTGGTAGCAATGGACTTTGGATAAATTCCTTAAGTCAATCCTGAAGAATGAATGGATAAAGGATAGTCGATTCTTAGGGTAAATCCTTAAGAAATAAGGGAGATATGGGGATGGGTAATTGGGTTGATTGTTTGATGATTGAATATAATAATTGTATTATTGTTGGTTGAAAACCATATATGCTCACCAGGCTCCCAAGCCTGACCCACTCAGTTTTCTTTGTATCACAGGTATCAATACGAAGACATATTTCACTGAGCGATTAAAGGAGATGTAAATCATTAGTGTAAATGAATGTAAGTTCTGTTTATGCTTATGATTCTGTATTGACGATGACATCCCAAGTTTTAAAATGAATAAAATACATTTCTTCCGAAAATGCCATGATAATATATTTATCATATTTTTCCGGGGACAAATTCCGCAACATCTTTTAGAAGATTACTCTGATTTTATTTTAAAAAGCATAAACTAAATCGGTCTTTTCTGGCCGTGAAATTGGGGATGTCACAGACAACCTGTTTGTGTTTTTCTTTTTTTTTTTCTGTCATGCATAAACCGACGAGCAAGCCATGGATTGTTCTTTTTCTCTCCATCCTTGATTGTTCTTGTTATTTGCTGCTATCGATGCTTTCACCTGTGATATATATATATATATATATATATATATATATATATATATATATATATATATATATTGCTTCTACCTGCGACAGAAACTGCCACTGTGATGGTGTTTCTTCAACCTTGATCATAAACTGCCCTTGTGGCTTCTATTTTTTCTTCATCCTTGATTCTTGTTGTTATTTGCTCCTATTGATGGTAGTGATTCTTGTTTGCATTCATAAATTCCTCTGCCTGTTTTGATTCAACATTAGGGTGAAATTTAAGAATTTTCTTCATTCATTATGATGATTTAATATAGGTAAAGGACACTGTCAATGTTCATGATGTGGGTATTGATACACCCCAAGTGAAAGTTACAAATAGATTTCATTGGGATCCTCATACATTCAAAATATTTCTTGAGGAATGTATGAACGAGATAAAAAAACGAGAATAGACCGGGTACTTATTTCACTAAGCCCGCGTGCCAAAATATATGTAAGAGGCTTTTGGAACGAACGGGTAAAGATTTAGACAGAAATCAAATGAAAAACAAATGGGACATTATGCGGAAAGAGTTCAAATATTATGACCGTTTAACAAGACTAGAAATGGGAATTTCAATTGATCCCGTGAGAAATATAATTTCAGCATCAAAGGAATGGTGGGATGAGAAAATAAAGGTAATAATTATAAACTTTATCTACCAATTTATTATTTGTATTGTCTTTTTCGTGACATTCTCATTTTGTACATATAGGAAGATAAAGAGTATGTTAAGTTTAAGGATAAGAATTTGGATGTATATCAGACATATTACGAGGCTTTATTTCGGGATACCGTAGCTTTTGGAGACAAGGCTAAGGTACCTTGCGAATTTGGCGACAGTAGCACTCTGGATGATGTACAGTTTGTGGATATTACGGATGGAAAAGAAGCTACTGACGAAGTCCACTTATTTGATGATGTTGATCCTTTTCTCACATATGATAGTTCTAGTAAGAAAAGGAGGGGAAAGAAGTTAACTCCCAGGCGTGACAACAAAATAAAATTTGAAGGAAAAAATGAAGGAAAAAGTGAAGGAAAAAGTATGGCAAACTCGTTCATCTTCGCGCACAGGAAGCATGCTTATCAATGAAATACTTAACGCTCATGTGAGCCGATATTATGAACATTTCAGATCACAAGTCCCAGTTTTCAACATGTTATGTAGGGATCTTGTTGCATATTATGGGTTAAAGAAATCACGTCGTGTATCTATTCAAGAGTCCATTGGTATTTTCTTGTTGTACTTAGCGTATGGATGTGAAAATCGGTTAGTTCAAGAGTTCTTTAACCATTCTGGGGAAACAATCCATAGGCATTTTCATAAAGTCTTGGATGTTGTGGTTAACCTAACTAAGGACATCATCAAACCAAATGCTAACTACAACGAAACTATACCAGAACATATTTTAAATAACCCTCGGTATTATCCATACTTCAAGGTACTTATTTTGTTGCAAAGTTATGTGATTTGGTGAATTTGTGTAATTGTAAAAATAATTGGTAACTTATTATATTTTTTGAATTTGTAGGATTGTATTGGTGTTATAGACGGAACACACGTGAAGGCCTCTGTTCCGCAACGTGACCAAATCAAATACATTGGACGAAAGAATTGTGTTACTCAAAATATTATGGCAGCATGTGATTTCAACATGTGCTTTACCTTTGCGTGGGTTGGATGGGAGGGGAGCGCACATGACATGAGAATTTTCAATGAAGCGCGAAGGAGACGTGAAGTTAAGTTTCCACTTCCAGCCGATGGTTAGTATTATTACTTATTTATAGAAGTTTTATATTTTCATACGGTATAAATGAATAACAATCATATGCTTTATTTGTACCTCTATAGGTAAGTTTTACCTTGTAGACGTCGGATATCCAAATACAAAAGGTTATCTTGCTCCCTACAAAGGTTCAAATATCCGTTATCATATTCCTGATTTTCGACGTGGGCAGAATCGTGCCGCGCGGGAACCAAAAGGCTTCAAAGAAAAATTTAACTATTATCATTCGTCACTTTGCAATGTAATTGAACGAACTTTTGGAGTCTGGAAGGCTCGATGGGTGTTACTAAGAGATATGCATGTAAATTTCGACTTCGAGACCCAAGTGAAAATTGTGCTAGCTTCAATGGTGATTCACAATTACATTAGAATGAGCGGTAGTGGTGATGCAACATTTCATATAGCGCAAGAAGAATCTTATATTCCGCGCAATGATGAAGGACCCGATGATGGTATTGAGCCACATGACGAAGTATCAAGTGGACAACGTAGAAATGACGATATGTATATGAGTGCAGTATGCGATATGATTGCGGGACATATTTTCTCAAGGTCAAACACTCGTGCACGTAATGACGTATAGTATGATTTGTTTTGAAACTCTTTGGTATTTTCATTTTATGGTTTAATGTAGTAGCATGAAACTAATTTGGATAATATGGAATGGGTTATAACTGTGCGTGATGGATAATATGGATTTGGAATGACATTTGTGGTCTCATATAGTTTTGCATGATAAATGTTTATTTTAGTTATTATGGATAAGAAAATTATGGTCTCATGTTTCTTGAATATTTCGATAGATGTATCCGATCAATTTAAAAATAGGTGTAAAAATAATGTGGTAAATGTTTTTTTAGTTCTTATGCTTAAGAAAATTATTATTATTATTTAAAAAACAAAATTGTTTTGTTTAATAAGAAAAATATGTTAACATATAATAGGAAGCCCTTTTTGGTCATTTTACTCATATAAGTTGTTTTGTTTGCCAAACACTTAAAAATGTTTATTGCTTATTGCTTATTCCCACAACAATAAGCTAATCCAAACACTTTTTAAAAAACTGTTTATTCCCACCGCAATAAGTTAATAAGCAATAAGCTAATAAGCTAAAAACTAATTTATCCAAACACCCCCTAAGTCTTCATCTAGCAGTTAAGTAAAAAAGAAACATCAAAATATATCTGAATATGTTAAATGTTGTTAATATTAAGTTCATTCAGTTAAAAAAAACATACTCTTAGTGAGTCATTAAGTATGTTGGAGATGATCTTAATAATGTGAGTGAAACTCTTATTGTGAACATTATGAATGATAGTGAAGACAAAGCAGATGATGTAGCAGATTTTCAGGCAAAATTCATATAGATTGTTGGAAAGAATCTTAAATAAAATATGATTACGAATGCAATTTGAGAGCAAGACACATGTAAAAAAGGTAGTGACACTTTGGTCGATCGTCCAAAATAAGGAATTTAAGGTTCGGGAAAGTAAAAGTAGCTTTTGAGCAAAGTGTAAGCAGTGACATATCTAGGATAGAAGTTAACGGGGGTCTGATATACATAAAAACATATAAAGTTATAAAACTTAATTTTTTTTTTAGTAATTTATAGGTTTATGTAGCAAATAAATGTTAAACTTTTGCTTTTTCTACAAGAATGAGTGCCAAATGGCTAAAGAGGAGGGGGGGTTAAAAAAGAAATAGATTTTAAATGTTTTTTTAATAATATAAGGTTGGGACCCACTTCCAAGTGGGTGCACGGACCCCACTCCTAACATGGTGCCTCTGCCATTGAGTGTGGACTATCTAGGAGGTGAAGAGGAAAGTTCTAATATTGCCCCATATACACCTCCTAAATGATATGTTCGGTCAATTAAAATAAAGAGAAATTAAATATCCTCCTACTCTTTGTTCGTACATATCCTCCTACCTAATGAAATGATGACATATGTAACATTTAATATTCATTTAATGAAATTTAATGATATTTTAGGATACTAATATGACACATGTTATCATTTAAATGGGTAGGATGATTGGTAGGAGGATATTTAATTTCTCTAAAATAAAAATCATCATATGGAGGATTACTCATTAAGTGGATGCATAAAATTGTTTCGGATCTTGTATAGTAAATAATAACAGAAATTTAAACTCCATAAATATTCTCTCCTATATCATCCACTCAATTCAAAAAGATATTGTTTATCCGTAAAACATATTCAAACAAATATTAAAAATAATATGAATGTTAATGTTTTTTTTATTGGAAAGCATAGCATGGTAGAAGAAAAGCAACATAGAATATTATAAGGATCAATTATAAAACTCTTTAAACTAAAAAGTAAGTTTTTAATATAAAAAATGTAAAATAAAAATAAAAGGGGTTTATATACATAAAATAAAACCCTGAATAGGAACTCATAGTTTGTTTTTTTGAGGCATCTTCAAAACAACCCATTTTTACAAAGGTTTTCTAAACTCAACACATATTAAAATAATAATAATAAAACTCCCATTTCTTTATTCTTATTAGTCTACAAGACTACAAACACAATTATACACTTATACTCTGTCTGGCACAACATGTTCTATTTTGGGACATAAATTGCATTAGAAGATGATCGAATCATCATGGGTGTCATGCATGTCTTTTGTGTATTCATGACTTGGCATGCATGCATGGTGCATTATGGTGCTTCAAACGAAGAAGATATCCAAATAGTTTTACGTCAATAACCATGAACTAGCATTTATTTATAGGATAACAAAGCTAATATTATTCCCACCGAGTTACACCTCAGTTTCATTGAATATAATAGATTTATTTAAAAGCCCATGCATATCGACATAAGACATTTACATTTCCGCTTGCTTAGCAGGGTCATGTTAATATGTTATGTAAGTTGCATGTGATGATCAGTCGATTATATATTATAATTATGTGTGTCATATATATGTGACAGAATAGTGAAGTTGACAATAAAAACTGAATGTGTAAATTAACCTTAATTATTGAAGGGGCGGATATAAAAGAAAAAGTAGACGAAACCTAGAAAAAGCTAATACCAACCTTCTCATGTGACCTGTGTTGCCATATGTCATGTCGATTATTTATTTATTTATCTATATTATGTTGGTTCCCACTTCCCACCCACCACTCTCCTTCCATTCCCCATATACATGCATGGGGAATGACATGGATATGGAGAAGATAAGATCCTAAAATTAGTCTCATCGTCCGCTGCTTTACACCTCATTCTGATTAAGCAAAATAAACACCAATAAACTTTTGTGCATGATCAAACCATACGTAACTTTGAAATTAGAGAAACCCGACTCAGCATGTGCATGTCGACAGCAAAAAGTAGAGATGCACAACAAGAGGAAAGTAGTGGTCCAGAAAAGACTCAACGACCAATTAACCACAAAATAAGGATAACCAACTAAAAGTTGTAATAGCTATTCTTCCGTTTTTACATGCATATAAATAAATGTCCTCCTTCAATCAAAACACATTAACTTCACCACATTTAGCTTCAGAAGTAGCAACAATCAAAACAATATACCTTCAAATCACAACAAACACACATCAACTATGGATCACAGATCATCATCAAAACATGATACTGAAGTTGCGATCAAATCAACTAATAAGGGATTACTATTATCTAAACCTTATGAACCCTGTCACTCAATTTCTTCCACTTCTTCCAAGACCAATGGCACTGAAAGAGAAGGTAATTAACAAACCGCTTTATTTAATTGTCTTGTATTAATTCTCCAACCATGCATAATTAAATGTTCTCTATACTTCTTTCAGTCAATCTTATACTGGTCATCTTTTGTTAATATGCAGCAAGTTCAAGTCCCAAGTTAATTGAAATCATGAAACAGAAGTTGAGTCATGGTGCCCAAATGATTCAACTAGGCAGCACTCCAGGTAAAATCTTTAGGAAAATCTTCGGTATCAGAGAGGAAGAGAAACTGTTACAGGCTTCCCAATGCTTCTTGTACACTACAGCAGGTGTAATTGCAGGCATCCTTTATGTGTCTACAGAAAGGGTTGCGTTTTGCAGTGATAGGTCCCTTAAAACTTATTCTCCCACAGGCGAGCTGCTAAAGTTCCAATATAAGGTGTCAATCCCGTTAGGAAAGATAAAAGGAGTAAGAGAAAGCATGAACACGAAGAGGCTGTCATATAACTCATAGTCACATAATTCGCTGGAAGTGCCACGTTTTTCGTACCAGATCGCTCGTACCAAAACGCGGTACGATCACGTTCCGGGTTCGTTCGGGATCGCGTTTTAGATTGTGAAATTGACGTTCCGAAAATGAAATTGCTTCGTACCTGATATTGATAGGATCACGAATTCTGTGATTCTGATACACGTTTTGGAATCGATAGGGAGCATCGAACCAGAATTTTGAAAGTCTTTTACTGTAACTGATACAAAAACGAACGGCCCTCCACTCTTGAAGCATTAAAAATCGACTTTATTTTTATGCTATTCGGTTTTTACTTTGAGTTTCTGCACTTGATTTGGGTCTTAGTAAAGGAGGAGGGGAGGAGAGAAGAGAGGAGAGATGAGAAGCGATCCGACATAAAATAGAAGATAGGAAAAAAAAATAGCTTTTTCTTTCTTTGGTTGTAATTATACGCATGAATACAGAAAACAAGACTGTGCACTCAAAAGACTTTAAGTCTTAACACTCAACAGTCTGTAACAAGTCTACACGCATGACTAGAGAAGGACATGGGCTTCTACAGTGAAAATACTGCACCCACTTTTTAGTATTTATTAAGTACTTATGTATTAACTGTTATGTATTAACCAACTTTATATATATATAATCATACCGGATCGTATCGGAGTGTACCGAAATGAGCCTACCGGAGTGTACCATATATATATATATATATATATATATATATATATATATATATATATATATATATATATATAGGGTACATCGTACCGGAGCGTACCGCCACTGCCGCTGTTGCTTTTGGGGCTGCCGACGATGGGAGAAGGATCACAAAGAGTCACCGAGCCAAACACCCCTTTAATTCGTCATTGTGGTTTTAAAAAGCAGACGATGGGTGGAGAAAACCTAGGTAGCTGAAGTCAATGGTTACCATAATTATAGGATATTATTTGTGGAAACTAATTATCAAATTACTTATTTATCCTTATTTATTTATTTAATTAATTATTTTTATTTTAAATTTTGATTGGCCCACATTTATACCTGAACGTAGCTCTCTCTCTCTCTCTCTCTCTCTCTATATATATATATATATATATATATATATATATATATATATATATATATATATATAATCATTCTACATAAATAAAATGAGAAAGAAATTTGTTTATTTAGTTTTATAAATAGAATTAGCATTGGGTGATTCTTGGTGGCAATTACAATTAAAGTTATTAAGAATTCTTAGTGAAAATGACATAATTATATGAGTTACTGTTATGTCGAACATGGAATCAAGAAATACAGTTACATTATACATGAAATTAATTAACTAAAGTATTAAACTTACAGAAAAAGTAGATACTCTCAAATTACTTTTTATCGGCTTTATATCACAAAAGGACCAAATCAACCTAAATTTTTGGTTTTTAAAAAGCTAATACTAAAATCACCGAAATGTTTTGGTTTGTGAAAGTTAACTAATTAAACAACTTATCGAACCGCACAAACCACATTCAAACCGCATAAACCGTCCGTATTAAACCGCACCGCTTAACGCATTTCTGAACGTTCGTGGTGCGGTTTCAAAAAAACTCTAACCGTATAACGGTGCGGTTTGCAGTTTTGACTCAAAACCGCATCGCGGACACCCCTAGTATAAACATTGTTTACTTTTTTTTTTGCATTGAATGCATTATCTGAACCTGAATAAATGGCTATTTTGCCCTCATATTTATAATAACAAATGACAAGTTGATGACATATCGTTATAAATTTAAAGTGTACATTATCAAATTAAATAATTTTTAAATGTAATTTAGATTAAAAAATATGATATTTAACTAACATTAAACATCATTTTAAATAAGTTCAATAATAAAATTAAATCAAAATATTTGTTAGAGTATATTACTTCTTTATGCTCTTTGTACACATACGAAGAACTCCAATTTTCTAGCTTGGAGAGTTGGAAAGTAAATAAACATAAAAAAATAGAACATGAAAAAAAAACTAGTCATTAATTTCTTCTCTATTGTAATTCATTAGTTTTAAATTTTACATTTTTAGTGAAACAAAGACACCATATAAATGTCGATTATTAAATTTTAACTCGTTTTAATTCATCGGTATTAATTTTTTTTTTTTTTTTACTTTTGCAATTCTCATTAGTAGCGTGTAATTATAAACCTATTTACATTCATTCAATAAAAATAAATCTTAAAATTAACTAAAGGTGGAGCATGCTTGTTTGACGAGAGGGAGAAGGTAAGATTGATTTTTTTTTTTTTTTTTTTTTTTGGGGGGGGGGGTGGGGGAGAGAGATGCTCTTAACAATGTGAGTGAAACTGTGGTTGTGAACTTTATGAATAATATTAGAGACATAGGAGATGATGACATAGCAGATTTTCAAACATTATTCATATAGATTTTTGGAATGAATCTGAAATAAAATAAGATAATGCAATTTGAGAGTAAGACATGTAAAAAAGGCAGTAACACTTTGGTCGATCGTTCAAAATAAGGAGTTTAGGGTTTGGGAAAGTAAAAGTAACTTTTGGATAGCAAAATATAGGCAGTGGCGGTGGCAGATCCAGGATGGAAGTTAACGGATGTCCGTTATACATAAAAAAAACATATAAAGTTATAAAACTTAAATTTTTTTTGGTAATTTATTGGTTTCTATAGCAAATAAATGTTAAAGTGAGGCTTTTTCTGCAAGAATGGGTGCCGGGGGAGGAGGGCTTAGTAAAACAAGAATTTTTAAAGGTTTTTTTAGTAATGTAAGGGTGGGACCCACATCCAAGTGGGTGCCCACTCCTAACATGCTTCCTTTGTCAGTGAGTGTAGGACTATCTACAAGGTGAAGGAGAAAGTTCTAATATTGTCGGATTGTCCTATATACACCTCTCTGTGAATGATATGTTCGGAGAATGAAAAAGAAAAATCATCATATATATGGAAATTACTCATTAGATGGATGCATATAATTGTTTCAGATCTTGGAAATTACTCATTAGATGGATGCATATAATTGTTTCAAATCTTGTATAGGCAATAATAACATAAATTTAAACTTCACAACCTCATATATTATCCACTCAATTCAAAAAGATATATTGCTTATCCAGTAAAAACATACAAACAAATATTAAAAATAGTTTGGATGTAATGTTTCTTATTGGAAGACATGCCATAGGAGAAAAGCAACATAAAATATTATAAGGATCAATTATGAAACTTTTTAAAACAAAAAGTAAGTTTTTTAATATAAAAAATGTAAAATAAAAATAACGTTGATGGGGTTTATATATAATAAAAAATAAAACATTGAATAGGAACTCATTATTTGTTTTTTTGGAGGCATCTTCAAAACAACCCATTTTTACAAAGGTTTTCTAAACAACATATACTCTATCCGGCACAACATGTTCTATTTTGGGACATAAATTGCATTAGATGATTGAATCATCATGTGTGTCATGCATGTCTTTTGTGTATTCATGACTTGGCATGCATGCATGGTGCATTTGGGTGCTTCAAATGAAGAAGATATCCAAAAAGTCTTACGTCAATAACCATGAACTAGCATTTATTTATAGGATAACAAAGCTAAATATTCCCACCGAGTTACACCTCAGTTTCATTGAATAAAATATATTTATTTATAAACCCATGCATATCGACAAAAGACATTTACATTTCCGCTTGCTTAGCAGGGTCATGTTGTGTAAGTTGCATGTGATGAACTGATGATCAGTTGCCATGTCGATTGTATATTATAATTATGTATGTCATATGTGACAGAATAGTCAAGTTGACAATAAAAAGTAAATGTGTAAATTAACCTTATTGAAGGGGCGGGTATAAAAGAAAAAGTAAAAGCAACCTAGAAAAAGCAAATACCATGTCATGTCGATTATTTATTTATTTATTATCTATATTCTGTTGGTCCCACTTCCCACCCACCACTCTCCTCCCATTCCCCATGGGCCATGACATGGATATGGAGAAGATAAGATCCTAAAATTAGTCTCATCGCCCCTGCTTTACACCTCATTCTGATTAAACAAAATAAACACCAATAAACTTTTGTGCATGATCAAACCATACGTAACTTTGAAATTAGAGAAACCCGACTCAACATGTGCATGCCGACAGCAAAAAGTAGATATGCACAATAAGAGGAAAGTAGTGGTCCAGAAAAGACTCAACGACCAATTAACCACCAAATAAGGATGACCAACTAAAAGTTGTAATAGCTATTCTTCCATATTTAGATGCCTATAAATGTCCTCCTTCAAAAATCAAAACACATTACCCACATCAACTTCACCACACATTAAGCTTAGCAACAATCAAAACAATACACCTTCTAGGCAAGCGAATCACAACAAACATACATCAACTATGGATCACAGATCATCATCAAAACATGATACTGGAGTTGAGATCAAATCAACTAATAAGGGATTACTATTATCTAAACCTTATGAACCCTGTCACTCAATTTCTTCCACTTCTTCCAAGACCAATGGCACTGAAAGAGAAGGTAATTAACAAACCACTTTATTTAATTGTTTTGTATTAATTCTCCAACCATGCATAATTAAATGTTCTCTATACTTCTTTCAGTCAATCTTATACTGTTCATCTTTTGTGAATATGCAGCAAGTTCAAGTCCCAAGTTAATTGAAATCATGAAACAGAAGCTGAGTCATGGTGCCCAAATGATCCAACTTGGAAGTACTCCAGGTAAAATCTTCAGGAAAACCTTTGGTATCAGAGAGGAAGAGAAACTGTTACAAGCTTCCCAATGCTACTTGTACACTACAGCAGGTGCAATTGCAGGCATCCTTTATGTGTCTACAGAAAGGATTGCATTTTGCAGTGATAGGTCCCTTAAAACTTATTCTCCCACAGGCGAGCTGCTAAAGTTCCAATATAAGGTGTCAATCCCGTTAGGAAAGATAAAAGGAGTAAGAGAAAGCATGAACACGAAGAGGCTGTCATATAACTATGTGGAGGTAGTGACTGTTGATGATTTCAGCTTTTGGTTTCTGGGCTTTGAAAATTATAAGAAGACATTAAGATATCTCCATCATGCAATTGGCCACGAATGCTTATGTAATAGATGTTGAAAACTAGTTCTTAAATTTGATGTACATTTTTCATGTAAAGTCTTATAGTTGTTTCCAATTTTTATAGTAGATCTACTTTCTCTAATGAGTAAAAGATGTATCTGTTGTTATATGATCAAAAAATGACGATTTTAGGGTGTTATAAGTTTAAATCCAAAGGTCATCTTGGTTTATCTAATACACTAGATGTGGCCCCAACAAATATTATTTAAGCGGTTCAACAAAATGGGAAGGTTGATTAAGTGGGTCAATATTATATTCATTGCAATTGGGCTTTAAAACGTGTACATTGTATGATAAACAACCTGTGTGGCAACTAAAGGTCATTATGATAAGATCATCACATGGACTATTGACAAGATGATGTGTCATAAAATAAAATAAAAAATTAAAGATGCAGACAACTTATGTTATAAACTATCTCATGACAGGCTTCAACTTTGCGGTGGCATGCAGTTCAAAGAAAGGAAAAAGATGCAAAAGGCTTTTGTTATTGTGTACTCATTTGCAACTCCCACACAAAACTAGCATATAATTATCAATTCTTTGCTTGTTTGCCATGACTAGGCAGAAAGTGAACAAATCACCAAGAATAGAGGTGTCCAACATGTGGTTTCTCAGTTTATGAGGATCCTTGAGATGGAGAGAAGCAAGAGCATGCTTTATCAGTAAACAAATCACCAAGGCCAATGGGCATCTCAAGAAGCAGATGAAGGAGAATCGGAGGAAGGAGATGACTCGGTTTGTTCCATATGGCCAAATCCATTTTTCGCATAAAAGCTAAACTATTTATGATATATATTCCTTACAATCTCTACTATCCTTCGACTCTATCACGCTTAGTCCTGCCACTTTGGCCGCACCTTTGGCTTCCATAAGATCCTTCATCATTCTTGCATCATCCCAGTTTTTTGCTTCAGCATATATGTTTGGAAGAAGTATGTATCTGAAAGATATATGTTTCAATCATCAATTTCTATACATATTAATGATATTATATATATGAAAAAGATTTAATAGTAAGAGAAAAATCGCCATACCGTCCACCATGTTGTGGTTCTAAACGTAGGAGGTACTTTCCCACTGCCTCCGCCACCTGTGCATTCCCATGAATCTTGCAACCACCAAGCAATGCACCCCATATGTAAGCATTTGGCTCCACAGGCATATTCCTTATGAGATCCAAAGCCTTCTCCAATCTTCCACCTCAAGATAGTAAGTCAATAACACAGCCATAATGCTCAACTTTTGGTTCGATACCATAAGCACCTTCCATGGAAGACAATAGTTCTTGACCCTCCTTTATCATTCCAGCATGACAGAAAGCAATAAGCATACCAACAAAAGTCATGTCATTTGGTGCCATGTCTTCTTTCTGCATCTGCTTGAATAGATTTTAAGAATCCTTGGCATGACCATGCATTCCCATGCCGATTAACATGGTATTCCAAGCAAGAATGTCTTTGGTTTGCATTGAGTTAAATATTTTTGAAGCTTCTGTAATGGTACCACATTTGACATATATATCTATCAATGCAGTGCCAACAATTAGGTTGATATTGATGCCTTGTTCACTTATATACAAATGCAAGTGCAACCCTAGATCCAAAACACCCGATTGACCAATGGCAGACAATGCACTAACAACTGTAGTCTCGTCTGCCCTTATTCCTGCTAATTTCATTTCATCAAATTATGCAAGTGTCTCATTTGGCTTTCCATTCTGTGCATAGCAAGCTAACATGGCGTTCCATGAAACCAAGTCTTTACAAAGCATCTGGTTAAAAATTTTAAGTGCATCCTATATGTTCCCACATACCCAACTAGCATTGAATTCCAAGAGACTATGTTTCTCTCAGGCATTTGATCGAACAGCCTCTTTGCTTCATCAAGATTCCCAACAATTCCATAGCCATTGATCATACTGTTCCAAGAAATCAAATCCATGTGTGGCATTTGATCAAACACTTGCCTTGCAAGGTCCATCTGGCCGGATTTTACATATGCATCGACCATTGAATTCCAACGAACAATATTTCTCTCGGGATGCGCATCAAACAACTTCCTTGCAGAAGGCAAACATTTAGCATTCGCATAAAACGTAATTAACGAACTTTGTATATAAAAGTCAGACTCAAAGCCACTTTTCAAGACATGGGTTATGGGTATGAACCAAAGTTCCAAATTCAGTACTTGAAGACACCGTACATGCCTTAATCACAAACGGGAAATTCATATTATTGGGTCCTACACCATTACGTAGTATTTGACGAAACAAGAAGATGGATTCTTGAGGCTGGTTAGGGGGGGTGCCGAACCCTCTAATGAGCGTATTATAGAGTTGCACAATAGGTTTGGTTGCTGATCAAATATGGTTTTAGTATAAGATAAGTTTCCATGAGGTGAAATTGCACAAAAAGACGCCAGCCTACACAATTCTGGAAGTGAGGTTTCATGAGGAATAAAGCCTTCATGAACGGTGATTTGAGCATGTATTTGTTTGAATTGCTTAACGCTTTTGCATTTGCTTACGAGGTAATCAAATTGAGGCTTCAACGATGAGCATTTGATGGCGAACTGATTGTTACTTATGAAAATAATAATAATAATAATCTTTCTTCCTAATAAAAGCCTCTCTAAGGTGCCACATGACACTCTTTTACACAGCCATTATGCCATGTGTCACCTCCACAGAAAATTATTGACTGCTTTTCCCGCCTTTACATTGCTTCAATTATCAATTACTCACCTCATACGATTAAGCAAATTAGTTTTAATCCAAAATTAAACTGCATTCAAAATTCAAAATACGTTTTATATATGTAAACACAACTTTCAAACTTAAATAGAGATATGCAATCCCTTAAAATCAGTTAATCATAATCTCCCAACTTAGAACTATCGATTCCCTCTTATTCTCTTCTTCATTGGCGTCTTCAAACCTGTCCTTCAAGAATTTTTCTGCATCTCTGTAAACTAAAAAACTAATGAAGGTATATCATTATTTTCAATCCATCCGGTTAGTCTACAACAAATAATTGTTGATTGTTTTCTGTTTATGTGATCTGCAATATGTTATTTAGTTTATTCCTTTTTTCTTCTCTTTTTGTTACCATTTTTCTTCTCCTTCTGTACTTTTTTCGAGGATTTGAGTTTCTTATATCATCTTACTTTTATAGAAAAAAAAGACCATTTGACTAATAAAATGGAAATTGACAGACTAGAACGAATTGGTTCCTTCAAAAGTAGTGGCCCATTCCATTAATGAGGGAAAAGAAACTTATTTTTTTTCATTGTAATTGGAATGGATCATGGAAAACCGGAATAGGAATCCAAGACTCCATTCCATGTCATGTTTGTTTCATTATAACCACTGTTATTATTAACATTGTAATACATCATTCTAAATCTTATATGCAGAAAAAAATTATAAGTAAAAAGAAACTTTAAATTTATGCAAAAAAATAGCATTGTACTTTGATAAAAAAAATCTGCAATGTTATCTTTCTTTTTCTTCAAATCTAATTAAAAGTATGATGTAATAAAAAATACAAATAAGATGACAATTTTGATTGTTTTGCCTCTACTAAAAACAACTACTTTATAATAAGACATTTATGACATATGTAATTTATTGCATCATTTGCCCCTTAAATTCTACATCTTTTACAGAAAAAACAAAAAATAAAAAATAAAAAAAACTTCAAAAGTATGCGATAAATAGCATTGTACTATCATTAATATTTTTTATGCCAGATTACATGGTCCATTTTTGAACGTATAATGTCTTTTCTGCATTTTATATAGAAAAATTTAATTAAACAATGAAACTTTAAAAAATATGCATCATATAGGATTGTACTTTATACAAATTTATTTTTAACAATTTTCCATAAGATAGTATGTTGTTTTGCTGTGTCACTGATTTTCCCCTAAAATTCTACATCCTTTACCAAAAAACATATAAAAAATAGAAAAAACTTCAAAAGTATGTAATAAATAGCATTGTACTTTCCGTAGTATTTTTTTATGCCGGATTACATGGTCCATTTTTAAAAGTACAATGTTTTCATGTGTGCCTATGTGTTGTAATGGAATACAAATATGGCAACAAATTTTGACTATTTTGCCCCTACTCTACAAACTGCTTTACAAAAGTCACATTTCAGCTTTATTATATTTTTTTAGCATTTTTTAAATAAAATTGAAGAAAAACAATGCAAATTTATAGAATATGCAAAATATATAGAATTGTAATTTATAAAAATTTGATTTTATAAAACTTTAATTTAAAATAATTCACGTTTCTGTTGTATTACGTTTCTTTTTTATGCATTTTTTATATAAAAATTAAATTAAGAATAAAACTCTAATATGCAGAATATAGCTTTGTACTTTATAACATTTTTATTGCATAAGAGTTTTTAACATTTTTATTAGTATGTTTTAGAAGGGAACATTCCCTTTAATGGCAATATACTTTAAAACCTTTTTTTTCTATTTACTTGATAACTTTTTTCATCATGTTGATGAATCCTACTTTCTTTCATTTTAAACCATTTAAATCTTATGATTATACCATTGTACTTTTAAGCCTTTTATAAGTTTTTTGCTATTTAAGCATTGTATTTTCAATTTTCAGATATTATGTAAACTTTTATTCCATGTAGATATGAAACACAATACAGTTATAAAATTTGTCATGGGAAGGTTTTATATAAAGAGTGTATACTGTATAATTAGTCTACCAAACATGTGCCGGGTTAAGAATTTTGCTTTTTCTCCATCAATATCCGTTGACTACAAACCAAATTTTCAAACTTTTCTTAATTTTTTCCTGTGAAAGCATTGTACTTTGAATCTTCATATACTATGGAAAATTTTATACCATGCAGATATTAAACACAATGCATATATATAATTTTGGATGTGAAGGTTTTTATGTGGAGTGTATAACGTAAAATTAGTCCACCAAGCATGATCCGAGTTAAGTTAGGTAATAATTCGTGTCCTAGACGGTTGACAACGTAAAACATGATTAAAACTTTGAAAACATAATCATTAACCCATGTTTTTTTTCGTAACTACAAACGTTAATTTAAATTAATATATAAAATGTTGTTTGAAGATATAAACAACATTATATATATATATATATATATATATATATATATATATATATATATATATATACACACACACTCTTATTTGTTTCTACTTTTTAAGGCTTGAATGCTTCTTTATGCATATTTCACATTTTTCCCCAATTTATGCAACAAACTGGTATTTTATAACAAATATGCAATCATTTACCATTGACCTGTAATATGTTCAAACAGTTGAAACATGTTTGCAAAATTCATGTCAGTTGCATAAATTGGTTGAAAAAACAAGTCAACATTGTTGCATAAAATGAAAAAAGAATCGACACTTTTGAAACACCGCTGCATAAAGAATCATTTAACCTTAATTTTAACTCCAAATCTGTTGATAAAAAGAAGCAAGGGAACAATTTAAACACATACATGAAATTAGAATCTGGAAACTAAACGAGACTATTCACAATCCACAAAATTTTCAAAACAAATAATTTATATAACTCAGTAATCTTTAAGGAATAAATTATGGCTATAAAAAGCAAAATTTTATATGCATAGTTTTCTTATAACCTAAAAAAATCACAAGTTCATCTTTATGAAAATAACTTTCTCACCTGAAAAATCTCCTCTGGTATCATTTCTGACTTCGTGAGACGGATATGTCTATAATTGCTTTGCCGCTCCCTGCTTTCAGAAGCCTTTCTTCTTCAAGTTGACAAGTTTTTCGACTTCAAACTTGTAAAATGATATGACACAAATCACAATCTGGTTTTTTTATGCAACCTGAAATAAACCCTAAACCCTAAACAAACCTGTGATGGCCGGAGAAGGGAGACGGCTACAGATGGGAGGCGACCAAACATAGGAGACGACGGACAAGAGGAGATTGACGGGTAGAGCATCTGACCCGGAGTCGATGTGAAACGTCGATGGTGTGGATGTTTGTTCGGAGTTTGCGACTCACCGCCTGGCGCTGGAGATGGAAGATTGAGGGGTGCGACGGTGAAGGTTCGTGTCGGCGATGACGGTGGACAAGGGAGGCCATGACGGCGATGGATGAAGGGGTGGAGATGGCGGTGTAGGAGGGAGGCGACAATGGAATTTTAGGAGTCGTGGTTTTGGAATGATTATGTATAATCATTGTTGTTTCTTTACTCTATAAACATGCCATTATATTTTTATCTATAGTCATTAATTAAACTATATATACTTTGTTTATTTTATTTTTCCTTTAATTTGCAGTATTTATTATGTATCGATTATCATAACAATTTATAAACTAATTTCTCTCTTTCATATTAAAAATTTATCATGGCATCATGTAAGTCTAAAAAGAAAGATAAAATTACATAACCCCTATATGGATAATAGAAAATACATTAATTTTTTTACTACATCCATCAAATTTATATTGCATCATAAAATCTCATGATTTTACCTTATAGTTTTAATTAAATTTTTTTTTATCTATTTCACCCGTGGTGTCCACGGGTTATAACCTAGTAATATAATATCTCTCTATCTAATAAACTAAATCATATGTTCACGTGTCCCTTCAAAACATCATAATTCTGCAAAAGTTAAATACCCATTATACCCATACTTGGTTTCACATTGAATACAATTCGATATCAAATCCATATAACGCCCTGTTTTGTTTCAATTTTGTTTCCATTTTTATCGGTGATAACCGTTGTAGTCATTAACTCAAATTTTGCAGTCTGCACATACCCGATTAATAGAATGTTATTATGGAATCCGATTTCTTATATAGGGTATGATATCAATCAATCGATTACATTTAATTGAAATTATTATGTCAATTATTATGTCGATTTTATCATAATCTGCTCAATATATACTTGAAATATATGATATCAACGTTCCTTTACAGCATCGTGTTTCTAAGGTTTTGCATCATCGACAATTCAGTTTTCGGATATTCAATCACACAGTTCAATCCTTTTCGTAAGTTTCTGCTTTTCAATGTGTATATGTATTTGTTTTCTCCAACTAAATTGTATTCTGTAAGTCCCTGTCTCCCACTCATGGACAGAACATGGCGAATTTGAGTTAGCGTATTGAACTTTGACTGGAATGAATACAATTAAAACGATAATTGTTGTCCCTTCCCAATGTTCTCGCATGTTACTGCTGCTATTTATGTTGTTTAACCTATGATTGTTCTGTCTGTAAATGTTTACGGTGGTTGATCGGTCATTGCTTCTATTTTTCAAGTTATAAGTATGTGTAACTGGAAGAAAAATAACATATTAAGGCATTGTACTTCTATTTTTCATGTTATAAGTATGTTCAAAGGACGAAAATGCCCTCGCCAATATATATGTGCAATAAAATTCGAAAAAAAATACATATTAAGGCAGTGTAGTTTTCTTTTTCATGTTATAAGTATGTTCAAAGGACGAAAATGTCCTCCAATATATATATGCAATAACATAAGGAAACAAAAAAGTTTTTAAACAGTACAGTACAAAAAAATGGTATGTGGAAAGGACGAAAATGCCATCACCAACCTTATAGAATATAACTTTATAAACCTTGTGTCGTATCATGTAGTTCCATGGGATATGTGTGTCTATTGATGGTGTAAGAGAAACAAACAAATATATATTTAAAGAGTTTTATTACCAATACTACGTGTAAGAATACACGGGTTTGTTAAAAAAAATTAATATAAATTTTTGAACACCAACCAATTATTAAAATAATACAATACTTATAAGTAACAACTTTATTGTGTAAGTATATAAAAAATGTTGCTATTAACATGAAACTTTTAGTAAGTTTTTTTTTAAACACAAAACTGAGAAATCAAACGTAAAAAATGTTGATTGGAGTAAAGTTATTGACTGATTGGATATATATCGACCTGTTGACGAACACCAAGTGGATAGATATCGCCATATGTGACATTCCATTGTTTGATACCGTATGGATCTTCAGCGCCGGTAATGGCGATTTGGAAAGCACCGACATTGATAAAAACCACCAAATTAAGGCATTATCTTCATCGGCGATGGTTATTTACGCAAATACTTTCTCTCTATATTTTCGAGATAAGCGAAATCAGATTTGAGAAGATTGAAGTAAATGAGGAATTCAAGTGTCGTACAGAGTGATGGAGGTGCAGTTGCTTCTATTGGGAAGGAGAGGATTAAAAGAAAGGGGTGAAGATTCGAGAGGGTGATTAAAAAAAAAATTCCTTTTGCTGGGATTATTATTATTATTATTATTTTTCAAATGATTTTATGAGTAATATATTTCTACATTAATTATCAATGTCAATGTTAAATAATAAATAAAACAGGTTGTACAGACAGAAAGGCGAATTGCTTGGGGAAAAAGGGTGAATGAAAATATTGACTCGCTACACAGCGGTGCATCGTCATAGAACAGATTAATCATTATTTATTTTTAAGAGAAAATTGCAAATTTAGCCTAATACACTAATTACTTTGTGGAAAATAGCCAAAAAAATCCAAATTGCATTTTTAGCTACTAAAATTGCAGATAGGTATAAGCCATCTGCGATTTCGTCATGCCATCTGCGAACGTACAAGTGGCTAAAGCACAGACGTGCTTTAACCACTTGTACGTTCGCAAATGGTTTTTTTTTTCGTTGTATATATACCCTTTTTCCAGCCCAAAATCGCAGATGGACTATGTCCATCTGCGATTTCCTCTCGTTTCACCTGCGATTTTATGAATTTTTTTGTTTTTTGTTTTTTTTTTTTTTTTTTTACTACGAAATTTATAGGGTTTGACTACGAAATAACCTTATTATATATAAAAAATTTCAAGAAATTATTATTTTTGTTGTTATTTCGTTGTATATATACCCCTTTTCGGGATTGTTGATAAAATCGTCCATTGTGGATCTAAGGAAATCGCTAGGAGAGAGTTTCTCTAAAGAATAGTGAAAAATGAAGAAAAAAACGTTTTTATACTAAAACTCTACGAAATCACAGATGAAAAACACCAAATCACCGGTGGATTGTTCCATCTGCGAACGTACAAGTGCCTAAAGCATAGATGTGCTTTAGGCACTTGTACGTTCGCAGATGGAAATGCGAAATCGCAGATGGGCTTAATCCATCTGCGATTTTAAGGGCTAAATCTGTAATTTTGGTTTTTTTTTGGCTATTTTCCACAAAGTAATTAGTGTATTTGGCTAAATTTGCAATTTTCTCTATTTTTAATTACTATAAATTAATCATATTAAAAAAATAAAAATTAAATGGGCTAATTACTAATCTAGCCAAATTAAGAAAGTAATTAATTATTTTTAACCAAAAGTTAGGAATGGCCCAAAATAGCCCACGAAACCGTAGGTTTTAGAATCGTCTACTGTTTCGATAATTTCTCTATTGTTTCATGTTTAGTATTTAAAAAAAAATCATTTTGAAGATATAAAATCGTAGGTTTTTTTAAAACTTACGGTTTTCTCTCTATAAAATACGGTTTCCCAAACTGTAGTTTACGGTTTTGGGTTAAATCTACGGTTTTCTTTTTTTTTTTTTTTAATGAAAACTACGGTTTTGGGTTGAAGTCTACGGTTTTGGGTTAAAAAGCTACGGTTTTGTGCATTGTGGACTTGTACACCGTAGGTTTCGTAAGAAACCTATGGTTTTAATTTTTTTCGGTTTTTTTCAAAAAAAAAGTTATCCCCATATACAAAAACTACTCCTAATCAACAATACGGTAAAATTTTGATTAAAAATGGACGTATCTCGTTGTTCTTCGGGTGCTCTATTGAGAGAAAATAGTAGACAATGGAAGAAAAAATGAGGAAATAGTAACCTAAACTGAAAAAATAAGACATTATATACTATGGGCCAATGAGCCACGAAAGAGTAGTCCATTGCGACGAAAGAGTAGTTTTCGAAGGTTGACCGTCGTCAACCCTCGTTGACCGTAGTCAACCTTAACCTATCTACTATTTTGTGGGCTAGTTTTGACTAATGTGTTTTTTTTTTGCTAATTTTAGATAGGTAATTAGTATATTTGGCTAGATTAGTATTTTCTCCAAATTGAATATCTAATACTTAATTCTTCATATCCATCCTTCTATCATTTTTAAATGATGATGATTATAATTAAAATTTATTAATTTTATTAAATATAATAAGTGTCACAATCTTAAGTATGTATGAAGATAATAGGAGAAAAAAATAGAAGGATATTTATAAAAAAAAAATTAACATTTAGAAAATACTTGGTTTTAAAGAAATTGTATGAAAATTATATCATAATATAAAAAAAAAAGTTTAAAAATTTATAAGCAAAATTTAAAACATTGTATTAGAAAAACCTATAAAAAAATTTCTTTAAAATGTTATAATAAATTATTAAAAGTTTTAAAAAAAATTTAAAAATATTATTCATATATATATATATATATATATATATATATATATATATATATATATATATATATATATGACCATTTAATTTGTTAAATGTGTTTACTTATTACAATTATCACCTGAGGTAGCAAGTGATAATTGTAATATGTAAATATATTTGACAAGTTAAATGATCAAATGTATACAAAAAACAGAAGTTTGCTAAACGTGAACAAAACGAAAAGATAATTACTATGACAAGTATTTTTCCCAAAAAAATATGCAAAAAAAAAAAATCAAAAGTATTAGTTTTGAAATAAGACAAAATTGTATAAATGATCCATATGGTTTACTAAAGGTCATAACTTTAATCTATGTTAATTTTTGTAACGAACATGGTCTTTTTGGTTTCTAAAACTTGCATGGTTGGTCCATAAGCCACATAAAATGATTTCTTTGCCCATTTTAATATCTTTTATCTTTTTTATTTAAGAAAACAAATAAACCCACCCATACTCCAAACACCACCTATTTCTCTGTTGCAGCTCTCAATGTTTCTATCTCGGTTTTTCTCTGTACTAGTGTCAACCTAAATCGGCGTAGATGCCTCCCATACAGTCGTTGTTGCCTTGTGATTAGTTAAATTGAAGATGAAAGAAGCTTACTTCAAACCTAGATTGAGTATCAATGACTGTGATTGGGATGTCATCAAGGAAGCAGTTCAAATCCAGATCGTGTATCAATGATTGAGAGGTAGAACATGTGAAACAATTTC